TTTAAATATTTTATGTTGAACACAATTAAAATATTATTAAAAAAATACTTATACATTTTTCTCAAATTGACAGGCTTGGCGACTACTATTTCGAGTAAAAATAGCGAACAGTTTTCAAGAAAATTATACCAAATGACTTTACATCTCCATTTATGCAGTGTGTTATCTATTTCACGAAACTATGACGTCATTAATATTTTTTTAAATGGATAAAATGATATTTTATATTTAAAAAAGTTAGTCGCTTTGAATACAAATCCTAATTAATAACATTTCTAATTTTTCTCGAACAGTTAAGAAAAATATACCAAATGACTTTACAGCTTCATGAAATAAATGAAGAAAATCTGTGGTCACAAATACATACAGATTGTCAATGTTGACATCATTTTAATTACAGGTATTCTTCAATAGGTACAGATTTCATCTTCCGTTTGGCTTTAAATGATCAAAACTATATTCCGAATAGAATGTTTGAAATCCTTGATGGGAATAAGTCGACTGGCTCTATAAACGAATGCGTGAACTAAAATAATCGGTAAAGAAGGTAGACAATGGTATTACCTTGTATATTATTTGAAATTTCGGCTTGAATTTTATTGGTCAATTTTCTTCGTCATTACATCAATTTGAGAATTGGTTTCAACGTAATTATAATTGGTTTTTAATAGACTATTTGCTTGACTACGAAAAAAAAATATATATTTTACTTTTTTATAATTGTTTAAACTTTTATTTTTATTGTTTTTAAAGTTGCATTATTGATATTAGCGTCAGCAACTGCTCTGATTTATTTAAAAAATGTCTACCATATCTTAGGTCTTCATCTTTGATAATTTTCAAATTCATTTGAAAATAAAATTAAATGCAAGTAAACTCCCACCTTAATTAAAAATCTTACTATTCTTATTTTTATATTACGTAGTAAATGGTGTAGTACTTTGTATACATGTAAACGGTAATAAAACTGTCACAATGCAGATTTAAGTTTGATTCTATACAAAATAAATAAACAACTTTTCTACGCCCATGTCAGTAAACATTAAAAATCGCACTGTCAACATTCCGTATAAATGGCATTTTTCTACGCCCATGTCAGTAAACGTTAAAAATCACACTATCAACATTCCTTGTAAATGACATTTAACAATAACATGCACGTAATGAGATCTCATAACATACACGTGCGTTTTGATAAGAAAACTTAAATTTCTTGGTTTAATCTAATTGCAAACAAATTTTTGTCTACGTAAGACTTTATGTAGTCTATTTACATAAATTTGGTCATTTAAAAAACATAAAAACTTTTAGCATTAGCGAGATACTTTTTCGATTAAAAGATTGGTACCCCTAAATGTCGGCAACATATTATACAATTTATATTGTCAATTTTTGTAACAAAATATGATTGTATCCGAACATTTTCTCAACTTTACCTACGAATATGTTTGTTAGCAGTGAATGGGGTCTATTCTGTAACAATTCCTTTATATTTAACGGCCTTTAAAAATATTTTCTCCTTTACTTCTGTCATTATTTAAACGGATCTTTAAAATACATTAGAGGACTATCTTAAAGAAATCTGTTTAAATAATGACAGAAGTAAATTAACGAATACGAACATATTTTTAAAGACCGCCAATATTTTTAAAGGCCGTTAAATATAAAGGAATTGTTACAGAATAGACCCCAAAGTGATGTAATTATGAGCACTGCACCGGAGATTTTAGAAAAAGCTCAAGCTGCCACACATAATTTGTTACCGCTAAAATCCAAAGAAAGGTACGAAATTACCTACCGAAAATTTATGGATTGGCGATACAAGCATAACGTTAAATCCTTTTTTGAGAATGTTTTAAGTGGGCGTAGAAAAAGTATAGTACGTTACACGAGCTGTTGCGTAAACTTTTTTCACTTCGTGCGTAATGGGTTACTTACAACTCCTGTTACGTAATATACTATTAAAGCTAACAAGAAAAAATTCGAATTATAATAATTGACACAAATTAAAATATAAACAATGAACACGAAGGCCAATGTTGCCAAATGATAAACTGATTTTAAAACAAAATTGATAAATGAATTGAAATTTAAAAAAAAATCCTCATAATAAATCGGTTTTATAAAAAAATCCTTAAAGAGTATTATTACATATTGCTAGGCACAAATTTTGCTACTTAAAAAAAATCTGACAACGTAGCGAAATTCCGCTGGCAACGCTAAACAAAATCCTACTTATAGAAACCTTTTACAAATTTCCTCCAGAGGGCGTATCACTTAACTTGAGTCACGAATAGGAATTATGAAAAAGTTGATTGTGATGTCATTCCCTATATAATTCTTTTGCTATACATTATCTCTCAAAAATGAACTGTATCCGAGATATTTGAGGGAAAGTGCAAATTTCAAATTTTGAGGATAACTCAAAAATGGATAAAGAGAATAATACCAAATTTTAAGCTTTAATTCGTCACGGTGAGCATAGTCCAAGCATCTGAGGATACTTTATAGGCTTTTTTTACTTTAAGAAAATAAATACTCGTAGTATCGACAGTAATTTCTCTTTATCTATGGTAATTTCTTAGGCAACCCATTTGCGGTATAGTTATAAACATATCGATGGTTAAATTCTAACATGTCGTAACCCTCAATATTTTAGAAATTGCGATTTTTGCCTGCCAACCCAAAGGTAATTCTAATAGCTTCTGCAATAGAATCGCTTAATTTGTATTAATTCGAAAAGGTTGTCTAATATTTTACATGTTTCATGTACGAATACACATGTTTTTTTTGTGTCTCCTGTAAAGTTTAATTTTCCTGGGGTACGACATATTAGCCTTAGCTATCGATATTTTATTTATTTAAAAATAACTTTCATCCGGTCAGTGGTGGTTTGCTCGTAATGGCACTTGGGCACGTGCCCTAGTATAATAAACAAAAAAAAAATAACTTACATATTTTATATTTTCTTCAATGCCCATTATTATTTTATCTAATATTCAGCGCAAACCGCGTTGGCACGACACTGGACAGCAGGGCGTTGAGCGACATTCCGAGAATTCCGAAATTAAGTGGGCATAGGGCACAGTAAATGTGTGCCTCTGTTGATTTCTCTCTCATTATGATGCGAAAAACGCGGACAACGGCAATATCGCTTAGCAAGAGATGAACACATGCGATGGATTATACGTCACAAGCAGGGCGCTGCCCTTCCTCATCGTGACGTGCTGTACTCATGGCACAGATTACCTAGACCAGATAAGTGCGCGTTTGTTGGACCATGATAATAATTTATTTATTGTGATTACGAAAAAACGTTAGTTGGACCTTTGGAATAGTTAAGAAATAAAACTACAAAGAAAAATAAACTTTTTTTATGAAGCAGTCAAAAATCAATAATATTTGTAAATGGGACAAAATTTTAATTTTTCTTTTGGTTTTGTCTGACTTTTTCGAGGATTTCAAATCTCTGTTTTCATATTAAAGAGTATAAAAAATTCTAAGTCTTATAAATAATTTAATGGTGTACATTTTCACAAATTGTTGGCAAAGATAACCAAATTCTATCTCAAAAAGGTATGCGTTGGAAATTCCAGGCTTAGTTGACAAACTATCAAATAAAGATATAAATATTTTTTCTAATTTGAAAATATAAAAGAAAAAATTTTTGCTGGGAGATTTTAAATTGCCAAACACCTTTTCTTCAGAGTCGTTTGCTTTAAAATGCTCCTATACGATGGAATTTTACATCGAAGTGTGTCAATACTATTTATGTTTACAAATAGGATTTGATTAAATGTCTCGAAGAAATTATGAACACAAAATTCGATAAAAAAACTATTAATCAGACTAAAGGGTTGATAAATTGTGAAAGACAGATTTTAGTTTCTGGTTATTTTTCTTCAGCAAAATAATGCCAAATTGCGAATACTTTTTGATCAACTGCAGAGTAGACAGCTCGATGCTCTCAAGGTTAAGATAAACATATCAAATTTTGCAGCAGCTATTCAAAATATTAAAAATAATATAAACACGCTAATTCATGAAGAATGGCAATCACAACAAGACCCACAAGAACTAAACTTAAACGACAACACCCAATCAGGTCCAAGTACAAGCAAGAAGAGACGGTTTGTTGAAAAGGAGGACCCCATTCCTAATTTAAGGATATGTAAGGAAATTTGTGATACAATAGTAGTGCAGGTAAATGAACGTTTTAGTTTTACTACTCACCTAACAACTGCAAGTTTATTTGATAGTGAAAAATTTAAAGACTACTGAGGTTGTTTTCCAAATAAGGACGTTAAAACTGTGTGTAGTTTATTTCCAAACGTAAACAGCTTAAAATTCAACTGTCCATACTTTACACCCGAGATGACTTTGGCAACACAATGGAGCCGTACTGTTATTACAAATGTTTTTTGAGAACAATTTGACAATTACATTTTCGGAATCTGTGGAGCTGCTAACTATCCTGTGTACAATTCCCATGACCACAGTGGAGAGTGAAAGATGTTTTTCGACACTAAAATGAATTAAAACATTTTTAAGGAACACTATGTGCCAAGATAGATTGTGCTTGTTAGCCATGTTATCCATCGAAAAAAAACCAAATTTTAATTATCTGGTCATCGATCACTTTGCTAGCCAAAAATCCAGAAGAATGGACTTCATCTATAAGAAACAGTATACAACTGCAGCGGTACCTAGCAGTTAATCTTCAATTTTGTAATATTTAATTTGTTTTGAAATATATTTTTTATTTTCATTAAGCGGAGAACTCCTAAGGCAAAAACGAATCCCGGGATTCCTTTCCAGTGTGTGCCCCACTGCCGCTAGTGCCCACGAGCCGCCACTGCATCCGGTAAGCAGATAGGTGAAAGTCGACCTTACTTTTTATCTTAGACTTTACTATTAGGTAACACTGTTTCAGACGAACTTAACAATTTAGTTTTCAACCTTAAATTCGTTTTTCTTCTGTTAATTTGGTAGGTACTCACCTTTGCTGAGGTCTCACATAGAGATCCCTTAGATGAAGCATTCTGCCTTCCCAAGTCGAATAAGTTTGACAATAAACAGAATATCCAACAAAAGATCCATTGGGTGTTTGTGCTACTAAACAATTAAAAGCTTTTTCAGAGTAATCTTTTTGAAATGTTACTTGATCTATTATCAGATTTTGGGGTAATTTTTCGGAATCTGTAAGCTCCTATATTAAAAAGAAAACATCAGTAGGTACTTATGTACTGTTAATTAAACTGTTTAAATAAATAGTATATTTACCTTTAACATTTGAAACACTTCTGGTATATCTACCAGTTCCGCATTTCTAATGGTTACAACGAATTCCTTTTCAGCGTTTGACATTTTTTTGGTTCCTTTCTATGAATTTACTATAAATAAGATTAATTTGAATGTGTTTGTGGAGTGAACGAGATAAGATCTCATAATTTATCTCAAACTTTTTAATCTAAATTAGTGACATCATTAACAAACAGCTGTTTAATTATAGAAATTATTCGTTTGACCATAAAACAATTTATTACAATAATTATTTATACAAATATTTTACTTTTATTAACTTTAAAGATGTTTTTTTTTTTTTCTTGAAAATCTAAATACATAATTTAACCTTCATGTAGTAAACTATTCAATTCTTTTTTTTTGTAATCTCTCTCACTCTACTTCACTTAAATGAAATGAATATCGCACTTGGCATTGGAACTACTCAAAAACATATTTTTTCCACTCCCACATGGATATTGTTTATCTACGATCTATGTACAAATTACAAAACGAAAAAGTGTGCCATAGCATTCAACTGAACGAATATATTTCATATATCCATTCCAGGTCGTGAGAACACTGCAAAAATCTGATGTGTCTACCACATGACTTTCCGGTTATTTTGTACAACCCATTGTAGCAGCTCTGTAAATGTTTAGAGGATAAACTAAATATACGAGTATACATTTTCCACATACTTCTAACTCGAAACATTTTTTATGTATTCATTGCCAACGAAAATACTAAAAAGTCTGTAAACGGCCAATTATCTCGTAAATTGCTAGTCCTAATTGTACAAAATTTGAAGTGCACCTATTTTGGGATACGGTGATTCCAGATTTGATATTTGCAATGTTGCCAGATTTGCCGTTTCTCTTATATTATTAGTCACTTTGGTTTTTCAAATTCATCACCCTGTATATTCAGTCATTATTGAAATCTCCTATTCAATACGAGTTCAACCATATGTAAGACTTATGATTTTATGTAATCTGGAAGGTCTTAAATAAATAAAACAATCATGGTGAAATGTGGTAGACGCATTCTACCATCGATTAGGGTACTGTCAACTCACAAATGGAGCACCTTTTGAACACTTGGTAAAGTAACCATTATGTTACAAATGTTATAATCTTTCAATTGTTACGTTTTAATGTAGTTGAAAATAGTTTGTATTAAAAAATTTATTGAGACAATTAAGCGTTGCCAGACTTATTTTATTTATTTAAGACCTTACAGACTACATAAAATCATAAGTGTTACATATGGTTGAACTCGTATTGAATGGGAGATTCCAATAATGACTGAATATACAGGGTGATGAATTTGAAAAACCAAAGTAACTAATAATTTAAGAAAAACGGCAAGTCTGGCAACATTGCAAATATCAAATCTGAAATCATCGTATCCCAAAATAGGTGTACCCCTAATTTTGTACAAATAGGACAAGCAATTTACGAGATAATTGGCCGTTTCCAGACTTTTGGGCCACTCTGTATACGCATTTCGTAGATTAAATTTTGATTGAAAAAAGTTATATTTACAAAAAATAAAAAAAAAACCTTATGCTTGTGAAAAAATTTTTGCACTTTAACATTGAAAGAATTAAATTTAACCAATAAATAACGGGGAAGATTTATGTAAAACTTCAGTACCTAAAAGGAAAGATTAAAAAAAAATTAAAAGTTCAATAACTCTATCTTTAAAAGTCACTGTCTTCACTATAACTACTGGTATCATTATCTTTTCTGATAAGGTTTATTTTTATAGGGTTTATTAAGTTTTCCATTGCTATAACAACTTTCCTAAATGAATTTTCTACCTTTTTAACATGATCAATGCATTTTCTCCAATGTTCTCCATTTACACCTACAAATTCATTTAAAAACAAATTTCGCACATCAGGTAATTTAAATATGTATTGTTTCGAGGAACGTAACCTTTTATTTGTGACCAGATCAGTTCAATGGAATTTAACTCCGCATGGTAAGAAGGCAATCTGAGAATTTAAATTCCTTTTTCTCCGTCCATCTCGTGTATAATATATTTTTCAATTTGTTTTTATGTTGCCTTGTTATTACGAGTAATTCTGCCTTCAAGAATTTAGCAGGACTGATAATATTTTTAGAATGAAGCCATTTTGAAATATCTTCTATTTTCCATCTTGTTGTAGGTATCCCTTAATCGACTGTGATAGGTCAGACTTCCGATTCGGACATAGTCGTGGCAACATTGAAATGGCGGTCTCCGAATCGGGAGTCCTTAAGTCTAACAAAAATCACAAAATATCCAGTAAAAAAGTGACTATCCGACTTTAAAAAGTATACTAAATTAAATAAAATACCTATTCAGTGCCAAGAATTCTGAAGAATATTTAAAATAATTATCAAGTGTAGTGGAAAATTAAGGACAGAAGTCCGACGCACGAGGGAGCAGTTTTTCCACTTGAACAAAATTTGAAAAAATAAATTTTCCTGGGTGGATAGTCCTCGGATTAAACCCATGACCACATCAAAGAAAAAGAAGAAGACTGTGATAGGATCCATGATCCAAAACAATAAAGAAGTTGGTTGGATTTTTATATAACGTTCTGAAATCAATTTTTAAATAGGGCCATCCATTTCTTTATGGTAGTCTTTTGTTTTCTTTGACTCAAACATTAATAAACCATCTGTCAAAAATCCTTTGGTGCTACCAATGTGGGTTAGGTATTATTCTTAGATAAAAGAGACCAGAGATATAACATACACCGGTGTTTAACCTGCGCAAATGTTGCCAATTTCTAAAGAAAGGTTAACGGGGTGGGGGAACTGGGCAGGAACCCGAACTCTGTGACAGGGACCGGACTTTGTTTATTAGCATCATAATGAACTATTAGAATTATTTAAAATATACTTTTAATGGAATTTTGTATTATGAAATAAATTTAACTTGATTTTTTAATATCAAACAGATGCCACGACATTTTATGTAAAGAGAAGACCTTTTATAGAATATTTAGTTAGCTATTATTTACTATGGACTTTTCTGTAAGAGACTACAGTAAAATTAAAAAACCAAAAAAGGTTGACAGCTGTGTGCACGTAGTTTAGATTCAAAAAGGAAAAACTTGTATTTCGTGCAAAACTTTTTTATTATTCAATGCAAAGCGCTTTCGGCTTATTTGCCATCATCAGTGCTCATCTACAAAAATTGTGGATGTAAACTTACAATTTAAAAAGATTTAAAAAAAAAATTTATAAAATCTGAATTAGACTTTTAAGTCAAAAGTTAAAATAGTATATATACAATTGTTTGAACGAATTAAAAATTACAAGAAACAGACAAAGTGACAAAAAACCTGGTATTGGGAATAGTGAGTGTGGGATAAGCCCCTACAAATCAAATCTGATCTCCAAAAGCAAGTTAGCTTGTGTGGAATTAAGGAATCATGCCACCCTCACTATTCACAAAATTGAAAAAAGGTTAACAAATTAATTAAAATTTAAAGAAATTTACAATTAGAGGGTGACTGTGGAATATATATTTAAATTTGAATCTATAATGCAATATTTGATATGAAGAAAGTAAAACGCAGAAGGCCAAAGTAAAAAAAAAAAAACTGAAGGTTTTTTTTATTTATATGTTTTATATACATTATAATTATGAAAAAGTCTACCTACTGTCCACAACGTATCCAACAAGTTCCTGGTCATCCTCACTCCCAAAATTATAAATTTCGGGATGTTTACAACTTGCTAAATCATAATTTTATTAATATTAATATTTTCAAATTTAAATTTATCTCATTTTGGTTCAAGTTGTTTAACCGTTTCCACATGACAGTGGTGACAAGCGACACTTGAAGACTTTGACTTGTCAAATGTCAACAGAAGGAGGTGCGTTCACCTCAGTGTGGAACATGTTTCTCCGAGTGTGATTCGAGTGATTGGAGGTTAACGGAGATCAAAATTTGTTATTGAATTTAAAGATTTAATTTATTGTTATTTAAATTTAAATAAATGTTTAATATGAAAGATATTATTATTTTGATGTCAGGACAAAACAAAAATGTCACTCGCGTGATTCAGATGTGTCAACCCGGGCTCTGCTACGCTTGTTGAGTGATTTAGTAATTTTTAGGACTAAACATCAGATTCACCTTCAGGGACCGCGGGTTCAGTTGTGCCATCTTGGGTTGTCTGAAAGAATGTTCTGCAGAGCCCGGGCTGACACATCTGAATCACGCGAGTGACATTTTTGTTTTGTCTTGACATCAAAATAATAATATCTTTTATATTAAACATTTATCTAAATTTAACTAACAATAAATTAAATCTTTAAATTCAATAACAAATTTTGTTTGTTTGTCTGTTTAAAACTTTTTTGTTCTCTATTTTGTCTCTTTTAACCATGAGTACGTTTGTTGAGTGATTTAGTAATTTTTAGGACTAAACATCAGATTCACCTTTAGGGACCGCGAGTTCAGTTGTGCCATCTTGGGTTCTCTGAAAGAATGTTCTGCAGAGCCCGGGTTGACACATCTGAATCACGCGAGTGACATTTTTGTTTTGTCCTGACATCAAAATAATAATATCTTTCATATTAAACATTTATTTAAATTTAAATAACAATAAATTAAATCTTTAAATTCAATAACAAATTTTGATCTCCGTTAACCTCCAGTCACTCGAATCACACTCGGAGAAACATGTTCCACACTGAGGTGAACGCACCTCCTTCTGTTGACATTTGACAAGTCAAAGTCTTCAAGTGTCGCTTGTCACCACTGTCATGTGGAAACGGTTAAACAACTTGAACCAAAATGAGATAAATTTAAATTTGAAAATATTAATATTAATAAAATTATGATTTAGCAAGTTGTAAACATCCCGAAATTTATAATTTTGGGAGTGAGGATGACCAGGAACTTGTTGGATACGTTGTGGACAGTAGGTAGACTTTTTCATAATTATAATGTATATAAAACATATAAATAAAAAAAACCTTCAGTTTTTTTTTTTTACTTTGGCCTTCTGCGTTTTACTTTCTTCATATCAAATATTGCATTATAGATTCAAATTTAAATATATATTCCACAG